CAAATTGTAAGGAGGCAGAGGAAAGGTTTGTTCCCAAGGGCAATAGAAATAATGGGAAGACCAGAACGAGCCCCTGCTTACCCGACGGTGTAAGGAGGAAAAAACCAAGTGCAATAGAGCATGGAAAAATTATAGAAGGCGAAGAACACAGGAAAATAAGGAGATTAGTCGAAGAGCCAGGAACGAGTATGCACATGTAAGGAGGGAGGCCCAGCAACAGTATGAAAATAACAGCATCGAAAGTCAAGTCAGACCAGAAACTGCTGTACAGCCACATCAGGAGGAAGACAACGGTCAAAGTCCAAGTGATCTTGCTGAGGAAAGAAGGTGGGGAAGTCACAAGTAACGATCACGAGGTATGCGAGGAGCTCAACAGGAGATTTAAGAAAGTATTTACAGTAGAGACAGGAATGGCTCCGAGAAGACAGCACAGAGGGAAACACCAACAGGGAACGTACCAACGATTGTTGGATGACATACAAACAACGGAGGAGGAGGTGCAAAAGCTGCTAAGTGACCTCGATACCTCAAAAGCGATGGGACCGGACAACATCACCCCGTGGGTCCTTAGAGAAGGAGCAGGGCCGCTGTGCGTGCCACTAACCACAATCTTCAATACATCCCTTGAAACTGGGCAACTACCTGAGGTATGGAAGAACGCAAATGTAGTTCCCATTTTTAAGAAAGGAGACAGAAATGCGGCACTAAATTACAGACCAGTGTCTCTGACGTTTTATAGTATGCAAAGTCATGGAGAAGATTATCAGGAGGAGAGTGGTGGAGCACCTGGAACGAAACAAGATTATTAACAACAATCAGCACGGATTCATGGAAGGCAAATCCTGTGTCACAAACCTTCTGGAGTTTTATGACAAGGTAACATAAGTAAGAAACGAGAGAGAGGGGTGGGATGATTGCATTTTCCTGGACTGCAGGACGACCTTCGACACAGTTCCTCACAGGAGATTAGTGCAGAAGCTGGAGGATCAGTCACATATAACAGGAAGGGCACTGCAATGGATCAGAGAATACCTGACAGGGAGGCAGGAATGGGTCATGGTACATGGTACACTGAGGATTGTAAGTTAGTAAGCTTTGATGTAACTGTTAGTAAAATTCCTTACACTGAAGTTGAAAGTTAGTAAGCTTTGATGTAACTGCTAGTTAAATTCCTAACACTGAAGGTTGTAAGTTAGTAAGCTTTGACGTAACTGCTACTTAAATTCCTAACACTGAAGGTTGAAAGTTAGTAAGCTTTGATGTATCTGCTAGTTAAATTCCTAACACTGAAGGTTGTAAGTTAGTAAGCTTTGATGTAACTACCCAGTTTACCAGACTACCACCATCAGATTAGTTATTTTTTTTTTATTTTCAGTTATTAGAAAAATATGACATGCCCTACCAGACTCGATTACTGAATTAAAATATGCATCACTAACTGTAAATTTGTTTCTTAATGGAAGATATAATGCTCGAAAGTATGGACTGGCTATGGGGAGTCCCTTCCGTCCGATGCTGACTAACTTACATCGAGTTTTGGCAAAGAACACTGCTGAAGAACAATGTTTTCAAAAAAAAAAAAAAAAAGCTGAGAAATAGAGATATGTTGCTTATGTTTCGTGCTTGTGGTCTCTTGACTAGAACACTGATTAATTATTACATATAAAACATGCATTAACTCTGGCTTTTAAATATCCCGAATCGTGATCAGCAAAAGACTCTTTTTTCTTTTTCTTTCCTTTACTTTCATTCTTCTATTTTCTTCCTCCAACATTTCGATTTTCTCTGATAACTCGAGAATGCTACATTCATTTGGCTTTAAATTTTCCACGTTTATGTTAGGTAGAGATGAACAGATTCCTGGAACAATTGACATATTCATTTACCCTATGACCAATGCTCTTGAGCCAATTCCCAGCATCTTAGAAAGGTTCTGATAGCTTCCCAAACTCTCAGTGGCGTAATTTCTAAAGTTCAGAAATGTTGCCTCGTAACTCGGTGAGTGTAAAGACTGAAATTCATATCTGTATGTGCAGATTTGACTATTTAGTGTGTAAAATGGTGTGATTTTTTTTATTTCGGTTATACCACTTTAAATAAAATCCGTGACGGAAATAGATGACCTAATTTTTAAGTTATTTGTTGGTTAGCTGTATATTCTATGTATCTAGTGGTACAAATTCACATGTATTTCCAAGAGTACCCTGCTTCTGCTGTACACGTATTCTATATATCGCTTGATGCTTAACACTTTCTCTCTCTCTTTCTCCCCTTCTCTCTCTTTCACCCTCCTCCCGGCCACCCGTACCAATCACCCAGTGCTGACGGGGAATACATCATCACTACTATGACCAAGGCCGTCCTACACTACAATGGCATCGTCACCTGGTCGCCCCCTGCAATATTCAAGTCCTCGTGTGTCATTGATGTCCGCTACTTTCCCTTCGACCAACAGGACTGTTTCATGAAATTCGGCTCCTGGACGTACGATGGGTATCAGGTGGGTTCTTTACTTCCCTCTTAAACTGTGATGTTAGTTTCAGCCAGCAGGTTCCGTCACTGTGTTTAAGATTTGACAGTTTTGACAGTTATGATGTTGTGGTTATGCCAGTTATGATATTCTGGTTATGACAGTTATGATGTTCTGGTTATGTTATGGTAATTCACTGTATGTTATCATTCCAGTTGTTGTTGTTGTTGTTGTTGTTAATGTTGATGTTGTGGAGGCTGATGATGATGATTGTATTATTATTATTATTTTTATTATTATTATTATTATTATTATTATTATTATTATTATTATTATTATTATTATTATTATTATCATCATGATCATCATCATCATCATCATCATCATCATCATCATCATCATCATCATCATCATCATCATCATCATCATCATCATCATCATTACCACTTCATTATTTTAATAAATGGAAAGCTCTAACACGTAAGGTACATACAGCACATGCGAGGAGGTTATAAAGTTTAGTCCAAGTACCTCCAGTTTCCGGGATCAAGAGTTCTTCACCTCTCATCGGGGCATCTCCTTTGAAGTGTAAGCTTCCATCTGACTATTTATTTAAGAAGATTCATGTTATTATCACGATGTTACATATATATCTTTCTGTTAGAGGAAAAACCAGATATTAGGATAACATCGACTATGTTTTTTTGGTTTATTTTCATAACCTTTCCTTTCCGTTTTATAAGTGTTACCCTCAAAAACTTTCCAGTATTTTTGTTTTGTGATAACCTCGTTGTGGTGTGCATGCTAATGACGTACCTTTTCTTAATTGCAAAAAAATACTCTAGTTCCTCTTGTTTCATTTCCAAATATTTAGTTGCTCAAGTTATCCTCATTTAGAGGTATCAGTATACATATCTTAAAGGCACAGCAGCTGCATTCAGCTCTCAGTTCTTGAAATTCCCTTTGGCAAATTTGTTAGGAGCTTCTCAGTAATAAGGAACTCGTTGGCTGCCTCATCAGGAGCTATGACTGAGAAATCAACATGGACTCAGGTATTATGAGTATATGGAAAATGTGAGAAATTCCTCCCATAATAGCACCTTTATAGCACCTTTATTTCTATTTGATTAACAATAGAACTCTAGAAATAATAAACGCAGCTTACGCTGAATTTGAGAGGCATCTGGGTGCTGACGTGGGAACTCTACGAAATTCCTTCTAAATCCAAGAAAATTATCTTCATTCATCTTCTAATTCTGTAGCAATAATGGAAATATAATGTCGCAGATGTCTGGCTCTTCAGCCGACTTCTGAGGAACTGGTTTAACGACGTTTTGATAGTTGGTTTCTCTCCTCGCAATATCACAATGTCAAGTCACTGTCTTTCTTTCATGGCCGTTCCAGTCCTCCCAACATCTTCTAAAACAGGAAAACATGTTTATTTTCTGCAGCTTCTATATTTAGGCTAAGATCCTTTCTTAATCAAACGTAATGAAATTAGAATTATCATCAAGATGTTAATCACACAATACTCTATTATTATGCATCAAATTCATCTATTAGGAGGCATTTAAATAATTAGTTAATATATTTTATTAATTATACTCATCCGGGTAGATTAACTTACCTCGTACTTCCAGGGCCATTCCTCGTAAGATTGCTGCTACTCAATACATTTTCAGAATAGTAGGAATAATATGGAAATAATTTTAAACATTATATCCGTAATATGATGAAGCATATCGAAAGCATACGAATGTAACAATAATGTGTGTGTGTGTGTGTGTGTGTGTGTGTGTGTGTGTGTGTGTGTGTGTGTGTGTGTGTGTGTGTGTGTGTATTAGACCGGTCCAAAAAACTAAAGTTTAGAAATTGTTCGCTCCACAAGTTTTATTATGCTACACTGTCCCTAAGTAACATTCAGATCAATTTTCAGGAAATTTCGTTCAATTTTCTGGGTCGTACAAAAAGGTGTCTCTCACCGACAGAAGAGAAACTGAAGAAATTTTAATTTTTGTTCCTCTTTCGCTTAGCATAGTTCAAATTTTCTCTTAAAGCAGAATGACTGAATTAATAACCAGTTTTTTGCGCTTTGTTGAGCGCTAAACGAGTGAGTGATTTTATGTACATTGAAGAGGAGGAACCACGAGACATAAATAAAGCAACGTGTTTGTCATGAATTCTTGGATGAGAAATTGTTGGTTTTGATGGACCTTCGCCACTGGACGATGTATTCAACGGAAAAATCACTGAAAATGAGTGTATTCAACAGCTGTTTTTTTCCACTAAAAGTTGAAAAAAACGTTAATGTAAATTCTTAATCATATTCTCCCATCTTTTCTCTCTCGAATTCAGTAAAGAAAACATAGCGTCACAACAGAAAATCTCACGCAATTTGCTTCTCAAGTTGAATAAACATCGAAATTTGGCCCAAAACACCTCAAATACCATGGTTTTCTGGGGGGTTCCCAAGAAATTTCTGCGAAACAAACAGTTAATAACGTAATTTATTTCATGAGACTATTAGATTCAAAAGGAATTAGGTCTCTATCTTATATAGGGAAAAAAGCTATTAGCCTCTCAAAAGTATCTGGTCATGTCGGGTCGGGTTGTGTCGGGTCGATCATTTGTCACAAAAACTGCCAGTAAGAAGTCTCTCTGCTTACTGCGCTCGCTCGCTCGAAATAATGCTTCCTCGTGCCTACTTGTATAACAAAATAAGGTGGGACTTCAATCTGTCCCTCTCAAACTAAGCAATCACCCTCCTTCATTAGTCTCTCCTTGGTTAGAGCAGGGAAGCGACGACAGTGATCTGCCACGAGGCGAAGAAAGTACTGCTTCTCCTCCTCGTCCTTGGTCAGCGATGTGTTGAAAGTCTAAACGAGGGAAACAGCTCCTTCTGCTGCGTCGTTCATGACCTTCAAAGAGCCCGTAGACTTCATTTCCAGGAACGTCGTGCTCGTCTCCCAAGTTTCGGGGTCTTCATTCAAGAAGGAAGAGTTTTCCTTCACCTTCCTCAGCTCAGCAATGACGCTTAACATCTTCAGGGTCCTCTTAGTCATGAACTCCTCCAGTCCGACTCCGATCTCTGGGACACCTAGCGAGCAACGGGGACACCCTGGTTTCTTTTCCCATTTGAGGTTGGTCACTATCTGCGTTTTGTCGCAATCTCAACATTCTCGTCGAAGAACGCCAATCCAACCAGTTGCTCCATCAGATACCAGAGATGGAGTGGGAAGATGATGGCACCAGCATTCGTGATCTCTTTGTCCGGATACGCTCAAAGGGTTTGGAGGAAGTCCAAGTTATTGCGAGCCTCGTTCCAGACCCGAACATAGATCAAGACGACGAAAAGATAGAGTTGATTCCGCTTCAGGTGAAAAAATTGGGACATGCGAAGTACATCACCTCGCCTCGGAAGCTGGACAGTTGAGAAAAACTCGAAGGGGACACCCTACACACACCATCATCTGTACTCGATGAGGATGCCACTGTAACCAAAGATGTACTGGCGAACTTATGTAGCGAATGCCACATCGTTAGTGGATAAAATTTCACAGGAATACTATATAGATATTATTTGCATACTTATTATATATAGCATGATAAATGGCATACACTAATGGTTATACATAGTGAATAATAAATATTATATATATATATATATATAATATATATATATATATATATATATATATTATATATATATATATTATATATATTATAATATATATATATATATATATATATATATATATATATATATATATATTATATATATATATATATATATATTATATATATAGTATATATATATATATATATATATATATATATTATATATATATATATAATATATATATATATATATATATATATTATATATATATATATATAGGGAGGTACCACCTCTAGAACTGTTCTGGGGACCCCTCATCCTCAGAGAAAAGAATAAACTTGCTTCAGGGAAAACTCAAGGTTCTCCCTGAAGCTGTTTGAGAATTTTCTCCTACCACACCCCTATATTTCAAGTATATTTTATTTAAAGACAAAATACATTGGCCAAACAGTCACAAAAATACAATAGAAAGTAAAACAACATAGGTAACTCAGAGCTACATCTCGAATACTTCATCCAGCTTCCCTGCGGTGGGCTGCGTGCCCAGAATGCTGCAGGCATTTCCTCTCTGGATCGCAACACTGAGTCTCTGAAAGAGGAAGCTGGTCGCCCTGTGGTCACTGGTTTCTATGATGAGCTTTTCACCCAGCACTTTGAGGAACTTTAGAGCACACTTGCCCCATGCTACAAGGGTCTCCGACCCTATTGGAATGAAGTTATAGCAAGGGGGAAGGTCTTCATATTTTCGGATCTTCTGGGTCTCCCTGTGGCTGGCAGCTCCACCCCCTTCCACTACGGAGTATGGCAAGTAGGTGTCTGCCAATGTGGCAGCACAGGTGTATTCCCAGGCAATCTGCTTTCCATCCTTCCAGGGTAGCATAGAGGCTCCATCAGGACGCTTTTGACTTCCATCAGACCTCTGTACTTGGGGTTCCCGTTGAGCTGGGCAACAGGCTGTGGTGAGGCTTCTCTTTATGATGTCATTGACCTCCTCATGTCTTGCACACTTCCCTTCTGCTGTGTAACACACGAGACCATGAAGTCCGAATTGATCAGCTGTCGCCCTTCCGCAAATACACCTATGTTCGGTGAGGATGGAGGCGGCTAGGCGAAGAGCAACATCAATCCGAATGGCCTGTGGGTCGAGACGTGTGCCCAGGGAGGAATTGGGAACAGCAAACAGGAAATCTCCTGAGTGTGGTGCCTTCACTGCCAGGAGACGAGCTTTGTCCTTTCCTGAAGCATTGGAGAGCATTGTGTTGGCGATTTTTTCCATGTTCGGTTTGTCCCAGTGGGACTGTTTGTGCTGTGTGGGAGGAGCTGGTCTACTGGAGGAGTCTGTAAGGGTGTCCCACCGAATCGCTGCTTCAGTAAACCTGGGGTCTTGAGCTCCTACCACGTCTCTCAAGAT